TGAGCCATGTACATGTTCTCCCCATCGCCCTGCCCTTGCCCACCAGGACTCCCCTCAACCATGGACCACATCCCCTGCTCTGGCATGGAGTCGTAACCCATGCACAACATCTGACGGTCCTCCTCCCTTATCTTCTCCCAGCACCGCTTTGCATGCTCCGCAACCAGAACGTGCTCCTTCACATCTGCATTGAAAATGGACACACGTGCCAGTACCACCAGGAACTGCCACTGCTCCACCATGCCTGTATGCATCCACCCCAAGGGCAGCCAATGGCCTGTCTGCAGTTTGGCCGCCATGGTCACCTTGCCATCAACTGTTGCAGGATGCAGACATCCTGGCAGCCAATTCACACGATATTCATACTTCTAAGGAGCCACATGGTGCTGCAACTGCCCCTCAGGGATGACATGGGCCGTAATGTCCATGGCAGCCAGAACGTCAGGCTTCAGGTTGGGCGGGTTCCATACCAGCGGGGACAATCCATCAGCAGTAGCTTCCTCCCCTCTGGCATACGTGTATGTGTACCCCTGCTCACCCGCAAACACTTTCCCCTCTGCCACCTCGAGCTCCACAGGGTTTCGAAGAGGTGGCGAAAAACAATGAGCAACAGCGGTGGGACAAGCCATCATCATCTTCTCCTCTTCAGTCACCTCCCTGTTCAGGGGTCTGGACACGAAGCTGCCGTTTATGTAACACACGGTCCATACATTGCCCATGGCGTCACGCATGGGCATCCTCACACGGCCACAAAGAAGGGGGGCGTCATGTGGCACCCAACCCCACCGTGGATCCCTCCTGGCATCAGTCTCTGCACAAACCGAGCCCGCTGCAGTGTCCAACCCGCCAATCACCCATGACTCTCCGCAGTCGACACTGTCGTACTCAAAATCATTCAGCCTCAAATCGCCCTTCGCGTCCAGAACACGCCATAGTTTCAACACATGCCGTGATTTCTCATCAGGGGTCGCCGCATCGTTCAACCTCAGCACTCTGTCGAAGATGATTGACAGAGTCACGCACCTCCACGACGCCTCTGTGGGGGCGGGATATGGAACCCATTCCCCATTCACTTTGAACGCAAAGCATGGCGTTCCTCCAACGGTACCCGGTTGAAGACGGCCAGACACCCAATTGACGTCATACGGGAAGTGTCCTCCTGCTCTCGTCCTCTCAACATTCTCGTATGGAACAAGACACTCTGCACCATCATCGCTCGTGTCGCCATCTGTGCTCAAGTCTGCAGCCTGCGCACAAATTCCCGCAAGGGCCACTGCACAGTCCGCGGTGTTTGCTCCGGCCGATATCCCTTCGTTGCTGACACCTGCAATACCCTTCACCATGTCCTGAGTCTCCATCGCGCATGTCTCCACGCCGTTGACATTCGATTGAATGGSARGCCCCATCTATTGCATGACACATCACAAACATTTATGAGAAGCCTTGGCAGCGACGTGACCCCCTCACCAGAGAGAGAGAGAGAGAGAGAGAGAGAGAGAGAGAGAGAGAGAGACAGAGGTTGACTACTGCGGGCCAGAACGAGAACAACCAGTGGCGGTGTGCACTTACATGGCACGTAGTAATCAACCTTTCTCTCTCTCAGGCGGACATACACTGCGTATAGGGCGGTTGGCTACTGCGGGCCGTTGGGACAACAAGCAGCATCGGTACACATTGACATGGCACGCAGCAGTCAACCTCACCCAGCTGGAAAAAATAAATAGAAAATTGTGGCACCAGCGCGAGGTTGGCTACTGCGGGCCAGAACGAGTACAACCAGCAGCGGTGTACACGTATATGGCCCGCAGTAGTCAACCTCGCC